TTACAGTATATCATTCGATCTCAATCTCACTTAGAGACTGTTTTGGTTATATTGAGATTTATTTTAACCAACTTAGTCAATTCCTGTAGTCCCATTAGAGGATTAAGAATTCATCAGGGCACATTTGATCACTGTAGACAAAATGAATTAATCATGATGGATGAAGATGCAAAATGCCTAGTTGCTGTAGTTTCCTCATGGGATTCTCTGAATCTTCAAAACTTATCACATTCAAGTGAATCCGTAACTCAACTTTATTTAAATTTAAAAAATGTATTTTGAACTACAATAGTCAGGGAAGGCTAGTTCTTTTTTTAAAATATATAAACCAGTTGCAGACATTCCACAAACCCAGATTTTGACAATATCAGCACAAACCACCTCTGCTTGCCTGTTTGACCTTACAGCACATTTTCAAAGATTAAAATGACCCTAAAAACTCGCACCTGCCACAGATTTTTGCTGACAGCCAAAGCTTGACTGGTGCAAGTGGACATTAACTTAGTTCAAGGGCTACTCTGCAGAAGTAGGCAAGAAACGCAGAGACTATTAATCATTAATTTCACACCTTAAATTTTTATAACCTGGTCTGGGATTTTAAAATCGTTGATTTTCCAAACACAAGCACTTATTTCTCATTTCAAGGCTACAGACTGTTGAGCAGAGGCTAGTGGCTGCGCAGAGGCTGCTGAGAAAAGGAAGGGAAAAAAAAAATAGAGATAGATTAAAAGGTGCGTTGCTGCAGCAAGCGACATGCTTGAGTGGCCTTGGCATTGGAAATAATTTAATCTGCATCACCAAATTTAGTGCCCCTACCAGTGGCTTGACAGTCCCACAGAGTGCTGCTGTACGCCCCAAACTAATCAGCTACTTGTACTGTAGGGCGCAAATGCCACTATCCACACATTACACTTTACCATGAAGTACCCCAAAGAGACCTTGTGTCTCATTCCTTTTATTTCTATATGCAAGTTAGCAGTAATATCCGCTTCTCTTAAACAAACCTCGTGAATCAGTCTTTTGCAGTAAAATCAGATAGGCTGTTTCCCACAATCTATTTATATATTCCAGCATGGAAGAGAGAGGGCAAATACACAGATGCCAAATCAATACGACCCCTACACCACTGCCCGAAATACACTCAGAGCGGAATTCTATCTTATATTTGTTGGACGCAAGTGTGGATGCAGTGAGAGGTTGTGAGAAGCTCCTAGAATTACCCTTGTGTTTGCTTTCAGAGTATAGATCTTGGCAGGGGGAGGGAGGGCTGCTGTATATTGAGCACTGAGTCGGAACAGAGACCATCATCGGAGCCTTCAATATCTAGCCAAATTCATCTCCCTCTCCTCCAGTAATAGAAGACGAAGCGGAAGATTCGTTGCACCTGTGAATGCCCTTCTTTTCACCTAATGTGAATTCACAGTGATGATTTTACTGTGTATTCACAACATCCACAGCTCACACATATCCAGTGGCCCAGCTGTATGCACTGAGCTGGGGATCCAGGCGATCGTGCAGGCAGTTTTTAGTGACACTACCCTGAGAACAGCCATGCATCTGGTATTGGGGTGTATGTACTGACAGGCCAACATAAAGAAGATGAATCTTGGGCACAGAGCATGGTGCTTGCAAGTGTCATGGCAGGCCAGTGCAGAGGCGTAGATGGCTAGTAACATCATCCCATCGCTGCCCCCGGTTTCCCCCCTGCAGCTCTCTCACATTTCCCTTCCGATGACATGATGGATATGACTCTGTCATCCTCACAGCAAGGGTAGGATATAACAGGACAGGGAGCAAGTGAAGGAGACAGGGCAGGACAGGGAGGGAGGGAGGGAGGGGTGCAGAGAGAAAGAAATGGACTGTGAGGCTTTGGGATAATATATTTAAGAATGGACAGCCTGGATTTAATGCATTATTCATTGCTTTAGTGATTTCTTTGCCATTTCACTTTTTATACATTTTGTTAAACTTACTGGAGCTCAGCAATTTTAGCTTGAACTGCGCCCCCCTGCAATTTCAGACTCCCCTCTACAGTATTACTACGCCCTGGCCCAGGCTTTGGTTATTGCTTTTGATGTTTTATAGAGCATAGGTGAATGGAACTTTTTGCCTTGGTGTGAGGTTGCCGTTGGTTACTTGTGATCATTGCACATATCTGTTGGCCCAAATCAGGCAACAGGAATCCCCTCCCTTTGGGGAGCCCTTCCTTTTTATGCTCTTGCTGAGACTGGTGTGGGTATTGATTTGGTCGGTGGGCTAGAATTTCTCCTGGGAGCTAATAAAAATAATTACAAAAAGATCATCAAAGGCCTGGCCTTCTGTTGCACACATGAATAAATATGTGACACAGATAATAGAAAAAGGCTTTTTATGTGTGTGGCCAGTTGGAAATGTGGGAGGGAAATGAGGTTTATATTCTGGCCCTGTCACATTTAACTCTTTTGGCTACAGGAGTAGGTAATCTTTGCTGACTGCTGACAAGCAGAGCTTAAAAACTGTATACGTATACAATAAGTGGATGCTGTGAACCAGCTGTAATTACCTGGTTCATTGTTGTGTTCATATGACAGTATTGTTTTATATAAATGCAATTATTTAAACTTCGTCAATGCATCTTTAACCAACAAGTAATTTTACTTTAAAGTAATAGCGCTCTTAATATAAAGAAGAGTCAATCAATATATATTTTGTTAGCTAACGCCTTGCTTACTGATACACATACCAAAGTGTGCCTGTTCAAAAGTCAAGTCAGTTTAACTTGTGGCGATCAAATCCCGTTAACTGTCTTCTTGCATATTTTGTTGATGAATGGACAGTTTTTGTGAAAAACAGAATAGATACCTTGTTTACAAAGCTGTTTCCTAGACTGTAATATGCCTAAACTAGACCAAGTGTCA